GATATTTTCAAGGCTTAGCGTCCCCTGTGGCCCAGTTGTCAACCAGGCCTCCTGGTTGCTGGACTGGTCAACCAGGCTATTGGATGCGGCTGCTCGCAGCTTGCATAATACACCCAATATGGGAAAGAAGAACCAAACTCAAGAGAGACCAGGTCCATCAAAGAGGCAAAACCCGGGTCTCACAAGAGGTATGCACCCAGGGCCTCCGAACCTCCGCAGAGAAAATCCGAGAGGTGGAAAATCTCTGGAAAGATGAAGCCGCGGAACCCAAAGGAACCCAAGGAGGGGGGGGGGGGAGGAGTCGAACCCATATCAAACTAGTACAGGGAACGGGGATATGAAAACCCCCAAACCCTGCAACAGCAAATCCCGCCCCAAGAGCATCAAAGCCCTGGGAGGATGGGGCCCAAGCCGACTCCTCCCCAGCCCCGGAATCCTCAAATTGAGGCTCCAGGGCAGAGCCCTGGAGCCACACACTCCACCCTTGAAGAAAAGGCAGAGTCCAAGGGAAAGGCATCAAATAAGGGAGCCTGCTGGGAAGACCTAGAAGCCTCAGCAGGAGGATCATGCTCAAAGACCTCCATCCCTGCATCGAATGGGGCAGCCCCCGGAGCCACCCGAGTCTCATTCCCCAACTAAACCCCGCCCCGACTCCAAAATCCTGAGACATTTGGAAGTCGGCAGCAGGAGGTAAGGAGCAGGGCGAACAACACCAACAGGTGTTGGTGTTTTACGTCCTGCATGCAAAACCTAGCATGCAACACAACAGCCGTTGGATCCTTAACATCTTCCAAGGAAGAATGGATAAATTGGATAACGAGTGAGGAACAACATAAGAATAAAGGTAACTGCAGAAGGCCTATTGGCCCATTCGAGGCAGCTCCTATTTATAACCACCCAACCCTACTTCCCTAACCAAGAGCAGAAATGCCTGCGCCGGTAGAGAGCACGAAGCTCCCTGACCCGACCCCCAGAGGCCAATGCCAACAGGAAAACAGCCTTAGAAAAACAACCCAGAACTGAAGGGGCCACTATAAACCAAGGGGAAGAGAGAAAAGGAAAGCACCCGGTCCAAAGACCAGGATAGCTCAGGTGGCGCATGAGCAGGCCGGAGGTGAAACAACGCATGAGACAGCATGGGAAACAGAGCAGAAGTAACATCAATGCCGAACGCAAGCTGGAGAGGCTCCGCCAAAGCCGCACAATACGAGGAGGTAGTATTCGGCATAAGATGATGGTCCTGGAACAACCACAAAAGGAAGGCCAAAACAACCCTATCAGAGTCCAAATGTTCGATGTCGGAACATTTCGATAAGAAATGTTCTGAATGATAGGAAAAATACATCGATGGGAAAAACCTGAAGGACCGCCAGGAAACTTGATACTGCCGCCGAGATGAAGCACACAGGTGGGAACCAACAACTAAGCCACCTACTCCCCATACAAGTGATGATAGACTCGAGTCAGAAACTCTAGTCACGGAGACTCGGGGAGAACAACAAACCAGCCTCATACCAGGCTAGACCGATCTGCTGAAAGAGGAGCCGTCATGGGAAGACCCTCGGGTTCGGACACCAAACAAGCAGCGCCTGAAACCAAAGCGCCAGGACAACTCTCCCCTGGTAAGTTTCCAAGCGAGCCAAGACCTGGAGCAACAGATGAACCGGGAAAAAGAGGTAAAGGTAACCCCAATGCGCCCAGTCCTGCCTGAAGGCGATGACCCCAACAGCCTCACAGTCAGGGAAGGGTGCCACATATACCGGGAGACACCTCGACAATGCCGATGTGAAGAAATCCAGTTCAGGAGGTCCGAACATCCGGCAGAGCCAACTGAAAGAGTTGGCGTCGACTGTCCATTCTGTGGACAGGGGAATGAACAGAGACAGGCCATCTGCCAGGACATTGGACACCCCCTGAACGTGAACAGCGAGGAGAGCCAAACCCCAAGAACTCAGCAGATGAGTCACCTGAAGCGACCAGCCCCAAAAAGCCAAGGACTGCATCGAACCCCCCTTGGTTCAGGCAATGAACTACTAGGGAACAGTCCGAATGGAGCCAGATCGCCGATCCGTGAGCGACCCGAATTCTCCGGAGCAACATCTACACAGCCGTGAACTCCCACACAGTGCTGGGCCCTCGACGAAAGGACAGACCCCCACTGTCCCAGGCTGGCCTGTTGAGCACTGGTCACAAAGCCCCAATCAAGGGATGACATGTCCATGAACACATTGAGCAAGGGCTCGGGTAGGTGCCAAAGCACTGAACCCCGAAAAGAGGAAGCCGGCGACGCATCAACTGACGCAAAGCCCCTGGAGGCCGAACCGAGTGGACGCTAAAGAGGCAGAAGGGACGTTCCCCGAAGAAACCAGAACAGCCAACGAAGCCACACCCGACCCAGCGGGTAGACCAACACTGCAAAGTTCAGGCTCTCGCACAAACCCTCGAGCAACCGCCTCGTCACCCAGGAGCCCCTCAGAAAAAGACGAAGGCAGGAATGCAGGCAAAGCAGAGCTACCGGAGGAAGAGACAAGGAAGCGGTCCGAGCATGAGAGGAAACCAAATGGGACTTCCGCCAGTTCACCAAGAGCCCGAAGAGCTGGGAAAGAACCAAATCCCTGGTGAGCAGACACGTGGACTGGCTGGGAGTCCAAACCAGCCAGTCGTTGAAGTAAGCCAGAACCCGAACACCTAACAGACGCAGGTGGGCCACCACGACCCGAGCAAGGCGTGTAAAAACATGAGGCACCAGATTCAAACCGAAAGGATGGCAACGAAAGCGGTAACGCTGACACCTCAAAACAAAACCTAACCAGTCCCTGAACCCTGGATGAATCGCGACGTGCCAATACACATCCTTGACGATCAGGGACACCATCCAAGATCTGGTTCCAACAGAAGACAGACCTGGGACAGAGTAGTCATCCAAAACGAGGGGCAATAAACCCATGGGTTCAGAGGGGGACAAGTCCAGAATAAACCAGATGTCCGTGCAGGCGGGAAACCCACCTGAGAGTTGAGGCCGTTTCGACCACGCCCAAGGTAAACCACTCTAAGATGACCCGACAGACCACAAGAGAAGAAGCCTGCTCCGCCAGCCCTGAAGCCCCCCGAAGGAGGAGGAGCCGCCCAACGCCACAGCAGGCTGCACGAAACGACCTGAAAGGCCCACAAATTGTGGGACCAGGAGCGAGTAAAAAGAGGGCGCCTTCCCCCATCGCCCCGTCAATGGGACGAACCGCAAAAGGGCTGACACACCTTACGAGAACCAAAGTGGTGCACAGGGTGATCCCCTGTTTCTGCTAACCAGAAACAGACGGTACCGAAGGCTGCGCCTGTCCCGAATCTAGCACCACTGGCCTACCACGACAGGAGCAACCCAGAGCCCTGGCACGACCCTTCCGGGAAGGCGCCCCAAAGTTCGGGTCCCTATAACCAAAACAGAGCAGTCTCGGGGACCCCGGGGAAGCAAAGAATCTATCACGTTGCAGCAACATAAACTGAGCATGCAACACCTCTGCTGCCTGCACCCCTCATATCATCTTTAGAAGCTTGGGTGAACTGGAGCAAGTACAAGGAACAAACATCGCACAACTCTGGGTAAAATGAATCACCGACCCGACATGCAGCATGGCGGGGAGACAACCGGCGATTGTCACCCTGTGACAAGGGGACAGAGCAACTCATCAACCTCGCAAGAAGCGAGAGGGGGGCTCAAGAGTTGCATCCATCAGACCAAAGAGCCCCCGTGGAGTTTCCCAAGCCCCTTAGCCTTGGTAACATGCTAAGGGAAGCCCAGGCAAGGTACTGCAAACCGGCGCCCAAGACTAGCGAGCAAGCTTCTAAAAGCTGAACCCCCTGGGACGTGTCCACTCCCAGGGGCCTAGTAGGGGATACCACCAAGAAGACAGATATGGATATATAAACCCGGCATTTCATGGATATTTTGTAAACAAAAAAAGAAAAACGCCGCAAAAGGACAACGTACCCGGGTGGAACTACTATAGCCGGCCACTATAGTAGGTGAAAACTAGCTGTACCCTACCCTACCCCGCGCTCCTACCAGTGACAACCCCCTTAACCCAGAAGCAAACGAGGGCAACAAAAACCCCAGCTGACTCCAAGGGCGGCCAATTACCGAGCAGTAAAAGACACTACAGAGGTAGATCCCAATTCAACTTGTGGAAGGTGGCCCCAAGCCCCAAGTGCAGTACTTACTGGGCACCTAGGGAAGGAAACCTTAGGCGCATGCAGCCCGAGTACTGTAGAAAATTACTCATGGCTCATACACCACCTGTAGAAACAGACCACACCACAAGGCACAGAAACTAAGACCAAAGCAGGAGCCAGAGGCACAAGACTTGCCAGTATCACATCAGCCAAGAACTGAGTTCAATTGCTGGTACGTGGGTCTGGGGCTCCCCCTTTTTCCTCCCGGGAAAGCGGGGTTGCATAGACAGCGGTGCAGCAACGTGATGATGTCATGCTTGTTTGCTAATTTTCGTTTAGGGAGTTCTGTCCATTCGTTCAGCTTTCGGTAGCAATATCTTCACTAGAATAGGGGTTTGTTTTGGGGCGCCTACCTTTCTGGGTGCACGACCCAGTCAATGGCAGATATAGAATGCTCCCAATCACATGGGGGTTTCTATAGGCCATTGCTTCTCGTGCCTCTCTGAGAGGGCCAAATTCTGGCTCGTGGTCCTTGGTAGGCAAGAACTTCATGTACTTTCACTGAAGCCAGAAAGTTAATAATTACATATTAGTCTGGATAGCTCCGGGGACCCGACGGGGCTCCCCCCAGAAAATATATATAACACAAGTGCCAGCACACACAAGCAATTATGCTCAATTTGTTATACAGTTTACATATAAATAATCAGGCTCTTTTCCTTGCAAAGAAAATTAAAACTAATACATTAAGCTTCAATTAATTAAAATGTCTTATATAAAAACATATGCCTGCCTCTTGAGAACACAAAAAGTTCACCAGAAAAAATTCTTACCATCTGTTGCCTTTCAGGAGGCAACATGGAATACATGGGCAAAACCCAAAGGGGTTGTTCTGGCTCATCATGCTCCCCAAACTTCATCCTGCTGGACATTGCATCATCATCATCGACATCATCCAAATCCAAATCGCTGTCACCAAAATCCACAGCCCCTCGGTCCTCTAGGTCTGCTATGTTACCTGCCAGGTCATCCTCTGCATCATCAGGCAAGGCAGATATGAAACTGAAATAATGAGAACAATTTAAGCAACATTCTCCAATAAATTTTGAAAAAATGTTCTCTGCTATATTCCTGACATTATCAGTACAGTAGTCACTTCCAGCATCAGATAATATATATCTAAAATGAAATGTCCATGTCGGTCTGTACAAAATTGTAGGCCAAATGCTTGGGGCTAGTCTCACCCAACCTTACAGGATGACAGGTGAGGAATAGGGTACCACCACAGTGTGATCTGAGTTGGTCCCATTGCTCCCATTATAAGGAAGTCCAGTTCCATAATGACCCCTTGACATCAATTACTAAGATGAAAGTTGGCTGGCAAAGTCCCTAGAATTTCATTTTTTTTATTCACCTTGTAAATAAGTGGCCTTCCCCACTATGCAAACATTTGTTTTACATACGTTTTTCCAAATTAACATTCTCTCAAGTCCAACCTGTTCCCCCTTCATGCTTAAAAATCCTTGTTCAAACTTGCCGGAGCATCCTAGGTATGTCTGGGATGCAACAAAAAAGTCTGCATGGCCCAATAGGGAAGGTGGGGGTATGTCAAATCATGCACAAAACTTTTTGGCAGCTTTTTTTCAATTCTCTAAACTGTATATAACATTTGGTTAGTATATATTAGCTCAGAGTGTGTTGTGTTAGGCTTAGTTGGATTACATTAGGTTTGTTTTGGTAAGATTAGGTTATGTTGCATTAAATTAGGTTGGTTTTAAAATAAGTTGGCAAACCTTCATGTACCCACCTAGTTGTGCTTGCGGGGGTTGAGCTCTGGCTCTTTGGTCCCGCCTCTCAACTGTCGATCAACCGATGTACAGATTCCTGAGCCTACTGGGCTCTATCATATCTACATTTGAAACTGTGTATGGAGTCAGTCTCCACCACATCACTTCCTAGTGCATTCCATCTGTTAACTACTCTGACACTGAAATAGTTCTTTCTAACACCCCTGTGGCTCATTTGGGTACTCTGTTTCCACCTGTGTCCCCTTGTTCACGTACCACCCATGTTAAAACAGTTTATCCTTTCCAACCCTGTCAATTCCACTGAGGATTTTGTAGGTAGTGATCATGTCTCCCCTCACTTTTCTGTCTTCCAGTGTTGTGAGGTACATTTCACACACCCTTTCCTCATAGTTCATGCCTCTTAGTTCTGGAACTAGCCTAGTGGCATACCTCTGAACTTTTTCCAGCTTCGTCTCGTGCTTGACAAGGTACGGGCTCCATGCGGGGGCCGCATACTCCAGGATTGGTCTTACATATGTGGTATACAAGGTTCCGAATGATTCCTTACACAGGTTCCTGAAGGCAGTTCTGATGTTAGCCAGCCTCGCATATGCTGCAGATGTTATTCTTTTTATGTGGGCTTCAGGAGACAGGTTTCGCGTGATATCAACTCCTAGATCTTTCTCTCTGTACATTTCATGAAGTACGTCATCTCCCATTCTGTATCCTGTGTCTGGCCTCCTGTTTCCACTGCCTAGTTTCATTACCTTACATTTACTCAGGTTGAACTTTAGTAACCATTTGTTAGACCATTCATTCAGTTTGTCTAGGTCCTCTTGTAGCCTCAATCTTCCTCTGTCTTAATCCTCCTTATGACTTTTGCGTCAGCAGCAAATAATGAGAGGAACGATTTTTATACCCTCAGGGAGATCATTTACATATATATACCAGAAACAGTATAGGTCCAAGGACTGAACCCTGCAGGACTCTTCTGGTGATGCATTGCCACTTTGAGACCTCACCCCCCACAGTGACTCACTATCTTCTGTTGCTTAGGTACTCCCTTATCCAATGGAGTACCTTCCCTTTCACTCCTGCCTGCATCTCCAGCTTTTGCACTAGCCTCTTTGTGTGGTACTGTGTCAAAGGCTATCTGGAAATCCAAAAATATGTAGTCTGCTCACCCCTCTCTTTCTTGCCTGATTTTTGTTGCCTGGTCATAGAATTCAATTAATCCTGAGAGGCAGGACTTGCCATACCTGAACCCATGTTGATGTTGTGTTACAAAGTTCCTTCGCTCCAGATGTTCCACTAGCTTTTTTTGCACAATCTCCTCCATCAACTTGCATTATATGCAAGTTAGGGGATACTGGCCTGTAATTCGGTGCCTCCTGTCTATCCCCCCCTTCTTGTATATTGAGACTACATTAGCCATCTTCCAAATTTTTGGCAATTCCCCTGTTACCAGTGATTTGCTATACACTATGGAAAGTGGCAGGCACAGTGCTTCTGCTCCTTCCTTTAGAATCCAAGGGGAGATTCCGTCTGGGCCTATAGTCTTTGTCACATCCAACTCTAGCAAGAGCTTCCTTACATCCCGACTGGTAATCCCAAACTCTTCTAGTGGTACCTGGTTAACTATTCCCTCTCTTATCTCTGGCACGTCTCCTTGCTCTAATATGAAGACCTCCTGGAATTTCTTATTCAGTTCCTCGCACACTTCCTTGTCGTTTGTAGTGAATCTGTCTGCCCCTATCCTAAGTTTTATTACCTGTTCCTTTACTACTGTTTTTCTCCTGATGTGGTTGTGCAGTAATTTAGGTTAAGTCTTTGCCTTGCTTGCGATGTCATTTTCCTATTGCCCTTCTGCCTCTCTTCTCACCCTGACATATTCATTCCTGGCACTCTGGTATCTTTCTCTGCTCTCAAGTGTCCTGTTATTTTTATAGTTTCTCCATGCCCTTGTATTTCGTTACTTAGACTACATCTCTGATTAAACCATGGGTTTCTCATCTGCATTTCATTTTTTTTCCTTTTGAACTAGGACCAACTTGACTGCTGCCTCCTTACACTTGTGTGTGATGTAGTCCCATCATGTCTTGGGCCGTCTTTCCCCCAAGCTCTGTTTCCCATGGTATATCTGTCAGGAATTTTCTTATTTCCTCATAGTTTCCCTTTCAGAATGCCATCCTTTTGTTTTCAGTGCCCTTCCTTGAGTTCATTAACCCTTCTTCGACCAGATACTCAAACGTCAGTACACTGTAATCGCTCATTCCTACTGGGGCCTTGAAACTGATTTTCCTTATGTCGGAATCATTAAAGTGAAGACTAGGTCGAGTCTCGCTGGTTCATAGTTGCCTCTCATTCTTGTGGGTTCCTTGACATGCTGGCTTAAAATGTTTTCTGTCGCTACCTCCAATAGTTTAGCTCTCCATGTATCCACACCTCCATGAGGTTCTTTGTTTTCCCAGCCTATCCTTCCGTGATTGACATCCCCCATGATGAGCAGATGGGATCTGTTTCTACAGGCAGCAGCGGCTGCCCTCTCAATATAGTGTTAACTGCCATGTTGTTGTTGTCATACTCTTGCCTGGGTCTTCTGTCATTTGGTGAAGGTTATATATCACTGCTACTACTACTCTTAGCCCTCCCATCGTCATGGTGCCTGTTATGTAGTCTATGAACCCCTGCAGCCCGGGATATCCATCTCCTTGAAACTCCATTCCTTTCTTGTTAGTAGGACCATTCCGCCTCCTCTTCTTCCTTCCCTATCTTTCCTTATTACTGTGTAGGCTTAGGGAAATGCCACATTCGTTATGATTCCCGAGAGTTTTGTTTCAGAGTCCAAATTACATCCGAGTTCACTTCTTGTGCTCTTTCTCTTAGTTCACTTCCCTTGCTTGTAATCCCATCTATATTCGAGTACATCACTTTGAAACTGACTCTCTTCTGTCCTTCCTCAGTTTCTGTTGATTCTCTGATAGTAGGGAAACAGGGAGGGTTCGGGCTGAGAGGGCATGGGAAGGGGAACCTGGGGGATCCGGGGTGAGTGGGGGCTGGGAAGATTTGGAATGGGGAGGGTAGTGGAGGGAGGGAGGGCTTGGGTGTGGGGGAGAAATGAGGGCGGGGGGGGGGGTGTACATAACGTATACAATGTGACGGGTATCTATGAAGACCAATGTTGTGTCAGTCAGCATTTTCTCCTGGCCAGACTAGCCAGTGATGTGTTTTCTTTGGAGTTTATCAAAGAAAATACCATTAACAATGGCCGATAAAAAGAGAAAGTGTGTTGGTAATGCACCACTGCCAAGGGGTGGAAAAAATATCAGAGATTGCATACATTTATGGCATGAGCTGCAACAAAATTGCAACTGCGAGAGATCAAAGAATTCACACTGCCTCAAGTGCAAAGGGTTGTGTACAATATGAACAACTGAATGAATTTTGCCACCTTGTGCATTCATGTGCATGGTCATTTACTGTTTGATTATGCAGCTAGGATGGCCATGTTTGATGTCATCAGACAAATCATGACATGAACATTCCAACAATCCTATGACGGCTATTATACATCGATTTTGGAATGTAACACAGTGAGCAGTAGTTCAGCTATCTGAATACATATTATTTAGGATTGTGGCAGAACTTGAAGAGTCAAGAGATAGTTTGGTGTAGTGGAAAGAGTGTTTGATAATTGGTGAGTTCACTTATATTTCTAGGGACTGCCTGAGGGTACAGGCCAGGTCAGACCCTCTAGGTGTGAGTCACGTATGTGCCTTTCCAGCTTCTGGAAGATTCTGGCTTCTTTCCTAATGGGAAATGAAGCTGCTCTGTAATTGGTCCATTATGATAACTGTCACTATTGGTTTATACATCTCTGTCTAGCAAACAAAAGGATGTGCACAGCATGCGCTGCTTCTGTCGTTCTGTTGGTGATAATAAAGGTATGGGAGCCGGTCGGCCGAGAGGACAGCACGCTGGACACGTGATCCTGTGGTCCTGGGTTCGATCCCAGGCTCCAGCGAGAAACAATGGGCAGAGTTTCTTTCACCCTATGCCCCTGTTACCTAGCAGTAAAATAGGTACCTGGGTGTTAGTCAGCTGTCACGGGCTGCTTCCTGGGGGTGGAGGCCTGGTCGAGGACCGGGCCGCGGGGACACTAAAGCCCCGAAATCATCTCAAGATAACCTCAAGATGTGAAATTCCAAGTGCTGGTTTCCGACTTGGCCAAGGAAGGAAAGTATAACTTCTCACCTGACAGCCATTAAAAGTTATCTATCACTTATCCATGTGTATCCAGTTTGGGCTAAAAGCAGAATCCAGAAACTGCTTAAGTTGTTATAGAGACTGCATAGAGGAACCTTAGAAGGGAAAGGATTAAGCCTACTGATTCCCATGTGATCGAAGTGTTAACAGAAGTAATTGACTGTTGCAGCATTGTATATTAGTGGAATCATCATTATTACAGCAAGACACATAAGTGTCTAGCTTAAACTCTTGATATTTTAGTTCTGCAAGTGACTAGGATAATTTGTTGTCATGAATCATGAGCCAAAATATATGAGAGAGAAGGACTTGGACTGTATTGTGAATGTGTAGTGTTCGCTGCCCACGTGACTACGTTTGTATTGGCACACCGCATGATAGCCTAGTCACCCATGTAATTGCGTCGTCACTGTTCATGTCTGTGTTAAGTGTGCTCCATTGCAATGGGACTTGCCTGCATGTGATGTCACGTGCGACCAATTGCAATGGTATAATCAATGCTGTCAGAGGATAACACCATTCATCACCTGTAGCCGAGTAGATGAATTTCATGGGAAGGTCATCGCCTGTAGCTGAGTAGATGAATTCCAAGGAAAGTTCATCACCTAGCTAATGAGGTGTCGATGTGTCAGAATGAATGTTAAGGGCCAGCCAATATATACAAGTGTTAAAAGCCTTCACTCTCAGGTTGTTACCTCGATTGATTGCAAGGAATCGACCGCTTGGTTAAGCATGACTTAATCACTGTCTGGAACGGACAGAGGGCCATTAGCCAAGGAAATGTGTAATATTACCTTGGCTAACTACCACATTCTACACAAAGCAGGCAGCTTAGAATGTGGCCGCTACCTCCAAGAGCACAGGTGCATACTGCTTGGGTAAAGCTGCCAGCAGACACCAAAGCACCTGCACCAGACCCAGAGCCGAGCATCTCAATGTCCTCATGGAGCCACTCGAGAGCGAATCTCCACAACAGCCTGAAACTACAAGACCAAAGCCAGATGTAACAAACTCAAAAGTCTTCTGCCATACAGGACCCAAACAGCAAAGGCACTTGAGCATGGAGCTTCATGAAGTCCACATCCTGGGAAAGAGCAGGATCATGCAAGAAGATATTGCGTGGTACAAAAGAACGGTTGCACTATAACACCTGAAACAAAGTTGCCACCTCACGCTCTCAAGCATGCGAGAATGACAAAAGTTGTGTCAAGCCCCGAGGGAGAACAGAGGATTGCATGTTAGCCATGATGATTCTGTGACTTTATGATGAAACCAAAAGGTGGAAGATGACTCTCACTCAAAAGAGGAAGGGTTCTTCATACAGGCATACTCCAGGTCATGCAGGATGTACTTAAAACAGATCCTCATGAGCTACTGATGGACTGACATGAGAGGAAGGAAACCTCTAAAATGACAATTCCGACGAGCCTAAAGGCACTGGAAAATGCACAGTGAGGGGTAGCCATATTCAAATAAAAATCACACAACGCAGGGGGATACGAAAATCTTTTCCCCTTGAAGCAATAGGCCTTCATCCAAAGAGACAAAGGTCCACGTGGGGTCCAAGGTAATCGAAGGGCCCTTATCTGACTACCTCTATGCCCCGGGAACCAATTACGAAGGTCCCATGGCAGAGCCTGCATCTTCGCCTACCAACCGGAATAAAATAGCAGAGTCCAAGGAAGAGGTTTCAAAAGAAGGGACAGACTGGAAAGAAAATCCCAAAACCTCGTCAGGACCAGCAGGCTCAACTGCCTCCATGCCTGAATTGGAAGGAGCTGCCTCTGGAGACAGCCAAGCCTCAAACTCGCACAAGGCAAGAATGGATTCGAAGGGAATATCCATTGGACAACTGAAGCCATAGGTACTTTTCAGGGCCTGAATGTTAAACCAAGCAGGACACCCAGGTACTGGGGATGCTATGCCGGACCTTAAAGTTAGCCAACACAGTCTGGGCTACACAGCTGTGAAGGCGCCAACCTTACCATGCCATATATACACGCTTGTGAACCACCAGAGTGCCCCACCAGCCAATGCTTGCTCCTGTCCTGGGTCAAGACAAGAGCAGTAATGAGACCCATGACTCACCCAAGGCAAGTGCCACCCCAAACAAGAAGAACTCCTGAACACACCAGAGAATAGAATACTGGCAGTACAGGTGTAGCATTAGAGAGCTCTCAGGGAAGGCAGCCCTGAGCACTTGCAGCCCTAAACACTAAAAAACAGGCCAATGCTACACCAGTGTACAAAACAAAGCACACAGAAGTGGTGCAGTGTCATCTGCTTCATGTACTCTTTGTGAGGGAGGGCCAGATCCTGGTTCTGGCCCCCCAGTAGTCCAAACTCAACTCCACAGCTGATGCAATTCAATAGTTAGAGGCCATCTCGGTGAGATAGCTTCAGGGAGCCACAAGACGATCCCCTGAGAAAAGCCAGCCTAGGAATAGTCAAACAAAACTTTGACTTCAAGGAAAACAAGATAGTTATTCAACTGTATAAATCTCCAGTGTGCCCCCCGCTTGGATTATTGTATCCAAGCATGGAAACCTCATCTTCAGAAAGACTTCTGCTTTGGATAAAGTTCAACACTGGGCGACAAATATCTTTCCTGAACTAAGTTGACTCTCTTACCAGGAAACATTGATGGCCATATAGCTAAAAACACTATTATTAATCAGATTATTATTAATCACCGCACTCCAATATTAATCAGTCCTGTGACAGGGCTGATTATAAAAACTGTATAATACTGAACAATTTAGTGGATATTCATCCTGATCAATTCTTCAAAGGGTTTGATGTAACCTGAACAAGGAGTGATGGTTTTAAGCTCAACAAGGCACGATGCAGGACAAAACACAGGAGATGCTTTTTCACTAATGGGGTTATAAACCCATGAAACTGCCTACCTGCCAAAGCCATAAATGCTAAAACACGGCTGAAATTTAAGATCCAGCTCGATAAAATCATACAGACAAATAGGGGGACACTTGACAAGACACTGGCTTCCTGTCCTCATCAAGGCCCATAGAGAGGTGGAGGCCTTTAGGTAAAATTTGCTTGAAAATACCTGGACATTGAAAGCCTCTACTCATCAACTCCACAGAGCTGCTGCAACGAAAATAATTGCACATTTATAGGGAAAAATAAGAGCACCGAGTTGAATGAAATGCCTTTCTTTGACTAGCATCTCGGTAGGTCACTTGAGCCATAGCACCAGACCTCGCAAGTTCATGAGGTGATATACATCCCTGTTGTGGTGACGACACTGATACATACACAAAGGCTTTCTTAAGACATCATCACACAGAAACCAAACAAAAATGATTAGTAATCACATGGAAAGCCATATAATATTACTGCTGGGGATATCAAATAACTTTGAAACACTTACTTTTCAAGTTTTACTTCAGGTAAAATTATCTTTTTAGGTGTAGGTTCCTTTTCTGCTTTCTTCATAGCCTTAATTTCAAGCTTTTTCCTTCTGTATCCACTAACATTTGTTTGCTTTTCATCTTTGCTGTTAGTTCGCATGGGGAATGTGGCATGTAACTTGCGAACCAAGTTATTCACTTCCTGCTGACCTGCAAAATTTGTAAAGTTTAGAAGTTACTTTTATATATAAAACAATCAACATTAATTTTTATTAAGAATTTGAATTCTTTTCACATCCAAAATGCATTCATGACCATTCAGAACTGCTCACATAAGACCTGAAGCATTAACAAATTGTCAGAAGAATGAAAATGACTAGGTACCATGCCATGAAGCTAATACTAAAGCAATGATACCTGCTCAAAAACAAAATAGAGCAGATGGATGACAGACACGGTAGTGGTTGTCAGTTGCCTTGATCCAATAGTGCAATCTGATTGACATGTGGCAGCTAGTTTATTTGCAGTTTACAGAGATAACTGGCTCTTCTTGTGTTGCCATTTAATGCTAGAAGGATTTGTTGAGCATTTTGATCTGGTTTTTAGCATCACAGTGCACAGTACCTATCTGTGGGGTGATTGAGCTTAATCACAGCCCATTGGAGCTTAACTCTCCAATCTCCCAATCCCTAAACTCTTGAGGGGCAAGACCACGTGAAACAAAATCCCTGTAGCGGTGGAGTTCAACATCAACGATGGTCTGGCATGTGAACATTGTCCTGGGTGGACCCTGGTACTAACTGGTTGATCATCTAAGGGGTGTTTGCTCAAGAAAGCTAAACCATTTGTCATCACTGTAAAAAAAAAAAAAAGGGTTACAAGAATTCTGCCTGTCCTTCATCTATACCTGTTAAAAAGACCAGTATCCCTCCCTCAGGAAGCTGTCGATGAATCTTGCAAGTCTTCTTGTACGCTTCTGCCACATAATCCTCAGGCGTCTGCTTATTATAATGGATGGTAACATCAAACATTCTTGCATCAACCTGAAATAATGATGTAAAACTAATCAAATTTAAACAATTCCATATGTGCCTTTATATTTCTACATACAGTACTGTACTCTTATAAATTTTATATGACTTTCACAATACACTAAATATTTGGTCACAAGAGTACTGTGCATAAAAACCAGCGTTGAATGTAATTGCATAGGCTTTCCCGGAGCTATCCAGGCTGATATGGATATATTAGACTTTAGCATCAGTCAATGGGAATGGAGTCATAGCCTACAAGGGACCACGAGCCAGAACCTGGCCCCCTTAGAGAGGCATGAGGAGCAATAGCCTATAGAAACTCCCATGTGGTTGGAAGCATTTTATGTCTGCCATCGACTGGGTCAGGCACCCAAAAAAGTAAGCGCCCCAAAACAAATCCCTATTCTGGTTAAAATATTGCTACCGAAAGTCGAACAAGTGGACATAACTCCCCAAATGAAAACTAGCAAAGTAGCATGATGTCATTACACTGCTTGTTTGCATCCTGCTTGCAACCTCACCCCTCCCAGTGAAGGGGATGTCAAAGATCCATGTGCCTGCGATCAACCCTACAGTTCTAAAGCTGGATGTCAAAACATGTGCAAAACCACCGACCGGAGGGAAGGAGGATTGCCGGGGAGCCTTCGGATCTCACTCAGAAAATGGCGTTTCATTACATTCAACTCTGGTTTTCTGGGGGGAGCCCCTTCAGCTCCCTTAACCAGAGCTACCTAACCAAAGACAAAAACAACAGGAACTTACCCAAGAGGCAGTCGGCAGTTGCGCCTCAATATGAAGTCGAGACAACTAGCTGCAACCACCGACCCAAAGCAACACAGGCCTAATGGGGCCCAGGAACACTGACCAGGTAGAGTGCAGCTAGGACCCTGTTCGACCACCAAAAACCCTGTGCCCGAATGTCAGCCCAAGACAGGATATCAAAGACAGCAGCAAGCACAGCAAACTTATGAACATCGTAGGCACAGGGGAATAGACAGCAAGCTGGTCAGACCAAATAACTGTGCGGACGACTCAGAAGACCCGAACTCTGGAACAGGGAAGAAGGGAAACTGGATGAATCCAAAGCGCGTCCCCGGACACAGAAGCCTTGGCACAAAAATAACGCCGGAGAGCCACAACCAAACACAACATATGATGCACCCCCCGGCCGAACCAACTACACATCAACAACCCAAGGACCCCTCCGGAAGGCAGCAATCTCATTCTTCACCAGAAAAGAAGGAGACGGCTGCAAACGAACAAACCTACTACCAGGACCAAAGGAGCAGAAACCCCCTGCACCAGGAGGAGAGCATGAAGCGCCCTGACCCGACCCCCCAGAGGCCAATGCCAACAGGAAAAGAGCCTTAAGAGAAACAATCCTGAACTGAAGGGGCTGAGGAGGAGCAAACTGAGGAGAGGAGCAAAGAAAGCACCCTGTCCAAAGACCAGGACGGCTCAGGTGGGGCATGAGCAGGCCGGAGGTGAAACAGAGCACGAGACTTGCACGCACGAGGGCCAGGTCCCCAATCTGCACAGTAAAATAACAACATGCTGGAGTGAACGATATGGAAGAAAATGCAGAATAGAACCAGTGAAGAGCAGGGGTACCATAGGCACAATAAGAAAGAACTGTACAAACATCAGAGGTCCACAGTTGTTCAACACCCTTCCAGCGAGCATAAGAAATATAGCCGGAACAACCGTTGACATCTTCAAGAGGAAACTAGATAGTTTCCTTCAAGGAGTGCCAGACCAACTGGCATAAGGTGACGGTCCTGAAACAACCATGAGAGAAATGACAACACCACCGCATCAGAAATCAAAGTAAACCTACGTATGGACAATAAAAATATGGAAGAACCGCCAGAAAACTTCATACTACCACCGAGATGAAGCATGCAGGTGGGACACCATCAAAGAAGCAACCTGATCACCATACAAGTGGTGATAGACCCGAGGCAAAACACCCAAACGCAAAGACTCAAGAAGATTTAACCAGCTACGAAGCTGACAGGGCCGATCTCCTGAAAGAGGCGGAGTCATGGGAAGACCCCTTGGGTTCAGACACAGAGCAAACAGTGCCTCAAACCAAGGCTGGGCCAGACACAAATGGGCCAACACGACTACTCTCCCTTGGTGAGTCTCCAAGAAAGGTAGGCACTGGAGCAGCAGCAGGGCCGGGGGAGATGTACAGGAAACCCAACCTCGACCAGTCCTGCCTGAAGGCACTGACCCCGATGGCCTCACAGTCTGGAAAGGGCACCACATACAACGGGAGACACCACGACCACACCGATGCGAAAAGGTCCACCTCTGGGATCACGTATGTCTGGCAGAGCCAACTGAACGAGTCGGTGTCAATTGTCCATTCCATGGACAGGGGGAATGAACTGAGACAAGCTGTCCACTAGGATGTTGGACACCCTCCCCCCAATCAAAGAAGTGTGAATTGCCAAGAGTGTCACACTCTGAGAACTCAGCAGACGAGTCACCCATAGCAACCAGCCTCAAAGAGCCAAGGACAGCATCAAACCCCCGCAGTTCAGTCAATGAACCACTGGGGAGCAGTCTGATTGGAGCTGGACTGTCGATCTGCGAGCAACCCGAGCCCTCCAAAGCTACCTCCACACTACCAAGAACTCAGACACGCGGACTGGCTGGGAGCCCACACCATCAGTCGTTGAGGTAGGCCAGAACCCGAACCCCTAAGAGATGCAGAGGGGCCACCACAACCCAGGTAAGACGTGTTGAACATGCAAGATGCCAGATTCAAGCTAAATGAAAGGCAACGAAAGAGTTAAGCCAGATGCCCCACAACATACCTATAACCGAAGCGGGGCAGCCACAGGGCATCTGGAAAGGCAACCAACCTAGCGTCCTGCAGCAACCTAAACCTCGCATGCAATGCTGAAGCTGTCTGCACCCAAATATCAATAGCAGTGGACTCGGTGAACTGGAGTACAAGCAAGGAACAAGCCTGGGCTAAGGGAAGCCCAGGCAAGGTACTGCTAACCGGTCATCCCAAAACTACCAAACAAACAAAATGTTGAACCCCTGTGATGTGTGCAATAATGGGGACCTTGAAACACATAAAGGTGTTTTAGTTTAATTTTATTTTGCATACAAGTCAGCCAGCCAGACAGGCTGTTTGAATGGTACCAGGTTGTCTGGCTTTAGCAATTAAGAAGTCACACCTAGAGAAGTTGATGACCACAAGTTAACCAGAGGTCAGGTTGTGTGAATTGACCTTACTTTCTGCTAAGCTGATAACTGCAGACGGTTGGTGGTGTGTCTCCCTCAAACAAGCCGCTGTTTAAGGTGTGGTAGGTAGAGAGCCTGAGGCTCTACTTAGTAGGTAGCGCTTAACTCCCAGTTCCTCCATAAATACCCAGGGAACTGCACATTCGAAATCAATCAGACACAGAGAATATTGAAGATACAGCAGGAGGGAGTAGATCGCTGGTCCCAAGGCTCCAGCCGCCAGACTGGCCTCCCAAGGCCAGAAAGGGGACTCTGCCTGTCAACTGTCAACCTTAGGCTCAGACACTTTGGTGAATTGAACTTTAAGGTGACAAATTGGTGCTTTCCAGCTTAAGGTGTTGTGTGATTTTCAGGGGCAGTCAGCCATAGTGTCCTCAATGTCTTGTGTGGTGACTCACATTGTAAAGTATATTATTGTTGTCATTTAACATCTGAAGTGATGATTTAAAAACGATATCTATATACATGAAGATCTAATGATAAATATATATTTTATTAACTTGTTGGTTTGTATTGAATATCATTCTGTTCCCTAGATCTTTGTCAGTTGAGGCTAAAGTAGAGAGCCCTCTGAGGGTACTGGTTTTAAGATTTTAATGTACAAGTAAATGATTCCAGTTGATAACAGCTAAAAGTACAGACAAGTTCCATTCCTTGTCTTGTATATGATATATTTTTTTTTTGAGATATATACAGGAGTTGTTACATTCTTGTACAGCCACTAGTACGCGTAGCGTTTCGGGCAGGTCCCTGGAATACGATCCCCTGCCGCGAAGAATCGTTTTTTCATCCAAGTACACATTTTACTGTTGCGTTAAACAGAGGCTACAGTTAAGGAATTGCGCCCAGTAAATCCTCCCCGGCCAGGATACGAACCCAGGACATAGCGCTCGCGGAACGCCAGGCGAGTGTCTTACCACTACACCACGGAGACTGTGCAGCAACAACTTTCATCCTTCTACTTTCTACATTTTCTACTACTCTACTATTCTTACAAACACTCTTACTTTCTACTCTTATAATTTCCTCCTTTATCTAAGTCTCGCCTTCTCATCCTCACTTTCCTTTTCCCCTGACCATGATCCTCACACCTCCCTTCCACCTCTCTGACTCCCTCACCCCACTTTTTACCTTTCATCTTTTCCTTTTCTTTTTTCATCGATTTATCGATACGTTACAACCTAACGGAGGGCCACCCATATAATACAAGTGGTCTCACAGCCTCACCAGGCAAAGCAAAAGAAAATAAACACCTGGCTAAAGCACAACGTCTCCAGGAGGAACAGAACTGGCTGCTATGTGTATTATAAGACAGATACACAGTACTCGGTGCCCCTGCCAGTGAAGCTACTACCTCCTATCCAAGGCCAAACAGTGCTAGGAAAAAAAAACCCAGCTGACCCCAAAGGTGGGCAATCACCAAGCAGCAAAAGAACCCTGCGGAGGCAGTTCCCAAACAGTTTGTGGAAGGTAACCCCAAACTGCAAGGGCAGTACTGACAGGGCACCTAAGGAAGGGGACCCTAGGCACATGCCGCCCCAGTACTTCTGGAATTACACCTAGCTCCCACACCACCACACCGCAGCATAGCACTGCTAAAGGATTGGAGCCAGAGTCGATCAACCGCTACCCAATACAACAGCCTCAGAACTGGGGTTGGGTAACCGGCATGGGAGGTCTTGGGGCCCCCCTTCTCCCTCCCAGGGAGGGGGGGGGGTTAGAGATGTACAGACAACGGCGCAGTGGCTGTTGTGACGTCATGCTTATTTGCTAGTTTTCTGATTAGGGAGTTCTGCTTGCTCGTTTGGCTTTTGGTTTGCAATTTTTAGCCAGCTGTAGTTTGTTTTGGGATTTCTACCTATCTGGGTGCCTGACATGGTTGATGGCAGATACAGACTGCTTCCAACTACATGAGGGGTGTCTATAGGCCATTGCTCCTCATGCCTTTCTGAGGGGGGCCAGGTTCTGGCTCATGGTTCCCGGTAGGCATAGAACTCCACGGATTGACTGTTGCCACGTTCTAATATATACACATCAGCCCTGTATAGCTCCAGGAAGCTAGCTGAAGGGGCTCTCCACAGAAAAACCCGGTTACTGGCTAAGAAAGGCCGAAACAAATGGCATGTATGATAAAATTCTTATTAATCTCAATCATGTCTGCCATCCATTAGGGAAAACACCCAGAAAAATCAGCAATATAAAACAGATCACTACTGATTAGAAACGAAACTTCAGCCTCAAAATTGCCAAAAGACCTTCCTTAACAATGTAAACAATCAAAAACTCATAAAAACTAGTGCTAGCTCATTCACCCCACCTCCCACTTCCCTGGGGGGTAGGAGGGAGGCAGCCAAAGGTGAGCCAGCTGTTCCACCCTCAGTTTCGAAACACTCCCAACCCCCTCCGAGATGTGAGGGTTTCAGGGAGCCACCAGGGCTCACCCAGAAATTCTAGCTTCATTACATTCAAGAAACACAGCACAAACCTCACAAGGATGCTGGGGCTGAGCAAGAAATAGCTAATCAGATAACAGGGTGACCCCAAAACACCTGTGAGCTGGGACAGAATGGGCAAGCTTACAAACTGGGAGAGCAGAAGAGCAGCTGAACCTCAAACACGGGCATGAAAGAGACCACCAAACAAACCAACAACTGACCCATTAGACCCCGCAAGAAAACCCAATCCCAAGCAAAATCCTGCCCAAACCTCAAAACTCTCAGATGCATTGGGGCCGAAAGCAGGAGGACGAAGGACCAGAGGAAGGGTGAACTACGCCCAATAGGGAAGGAAGGCATAGAAAGAACCACGGTTGAATTAACTAACACCTCTTGAATCCGACACCAACAAAATCCGGATACCTAACACAAACCGAGGTAGCTAAGGAGCATCAAACTTGGTAGACAACCTAGACCATTGGAAGACAGAAAGCCTCAAATGTAAAGTAGTTGCTGCCTGAAAATACTGGACTAGTCAGGTGGGGCAGATAGAAGAATAACATTAGAACAGGTCCCACATGACTCAGGGTAAAATGTCTCACCGACCCAGCAGGCAGCTTGGTAGTGGCAGAAGGAATGAAAGTTGTCATGTCGCATACAAGCATACAAGCCTCAAATTCACACAAAGCAAGAGCAGGTTTGGGAGAGGGAGGATATCCATGGGACCACCTTACCCACTGGTGGTCCCAATGCAAATATTTGATCTGCAAAATAGGAAAGAAATAATAAATGCTTTCAGTGGAGCATTTCAACTAATGCACATACATCAAAGAACACTTATATTTTAAGTTCACAATAAGTACCTTTATAACTGGAGGCTTGGGTGGCTTAAAGAGACGAGCATTTTCAGTGAAGTCTTCAACCCTCAAGGTGGCTGACATAATTATGAGTTTTAGAGGCTTGCCCTTAGCTTGGCGTCTAATAATCATTCGAGAGAGAATGCCAATCAAAATATCTGAAAAGACGCTGCGCTCATGTGCTTCGTCAATTATTATTGCTGAGTACTTCTTCAGGGTTGGATCCTGTTTAAATTATTTAGAGAAAATATGAAAAAATACTTGTTTATACAAAAACGACTATAACGATATTTAAGCAATGGCTAATAATACACTCCTGCAACAATATATATGAAATTTTGCTATGAACACTTCTGTAATTCAAATCATCCTATGTTTAACTTTTATACCCTTTGATCAATACCTATTTCATAACAAAACTTCCATGGATGAACAGTACAAATCTTTTGTATAATAATAGCTTACAGGTTTGAGGCACAGCATTTAAAGCTTAAATGTTATTACTAAAGGTGGTGGTGGCAGTGATAAGAACAATGTTATTACTAAAGGTGGTGGTGGCAGTGATAAGAACAATGTTATTACTAAAGGTGGTGGTGGCAGTGATAAGAACAATGTTATTACTAAAGGTGGTGGTGGTAGTGATAAGAACAATGTTATTACTAAAGGTGGTGGTGGCAGTGATAAGAACAATGTTATTACTAAAGGTGGTGGTGGCAGTGATAAGAACAATGTTATTACTAAAGGTGGTGGTGGCAGTGATAAGAACAATGTTATTACTAAAGGTGGTGGTGGCAGTGATAAGAACAATGTTATTACTAAAGGTGGTGGTGGCAGTGATAAGAACAATGTTATTACTAAAGGTGGTGGTGGCAGTGATAAGAACAATGTTATTACTAAAGGTGGTGGTGGCAGTGATAAGAACAATGTTATTACTAAAGGTGGTGGTGGCAGTGATAAGAACAATGTTATTACTAAAGGTGGTGGTGGCAGTGATAAGAACAATGTTATTACTAAAGGTGGTGGTGGCAGTGATAAGAACAATGTTATTACTAAAGGTGGTGGTGGCAGTGATAAGAACAATGTTATTACTAAAGGTGGTGGTGGCAGTGATAAGAACAATGTTATTACTAAAGGTGGTGGTGGCAGTGATAAGAACAATGTTATTACTAAAGGTGGTGGTGGCAGTGATAAGAACAATGTTATTACTAAAGGTGGTGGTGGCAGTGATAAGAACAATGTTATTACTAAAGGTGGTGGTGGCAGTGATAAGAACAATGTTATTACTAAAGGTGGTGGTGGCAGTGATAAGAACAATGTTATTACTAAAGGTGGTGGTGGCAGTGATAAGAACAATGTTATTACTAAAGGTGGTGGTGGCAGTGATAAGAACAATGTTATTACTAAAGGTGGTGGTGGCAGTGATAAGAACAATGTTATTACTAAAGGTGGTGGTGGCAGTGATAAGAACAATGTTATTACTAAAGGTGGTGGTGGCAGTGATAAGAACAATGTTATTACTAAAGGTGGTGGTGGCAGTGATAAGAACAATGTTATTACTAAAGGTGGTGGTGGCAGTGATAAGAACAATGGTATTACTAAAGGTGGTGGTGGCAGTGATAAGAACAATGTTATTACTAAAGGTGGTGGTGGCAGTGATAAGAACAATGTTATTACTAAAGGTGGTGGTGGCAGTGATAAGAACAATGTTATTACTAAAGGTGGTGGTGGCAGTGATAAGAACAATGTTATTACTAAAGGTGGTGGTGGCAGTGATAAGAACAATGTTATTACTAAAGGTGGTGGTGGCAGTGATAAGAACAATGTTATTACTAAAGGTGGTGGTGGCAGTGATAAGAACAATGTTATTACTAAAGGAGGTGGTGGCAGTGATAAGAACAATGTTATTACTAAAGGTGGTGGTGGCAGTGATAAGAACAATGTTATTACTAAAGGTGGTGGTGGCAGTGATAAGAACAATGTTATTACTAAAGGTGGTGGTGGCAGTGATAAGAACAATGTTATTACTAAAGGTGGTGGTGGCAGTGATAAGAACAATAATCAGTAATTGCTTCTTGAAGCCTCAATCATTACACAAGATTCATCAGGCAACACAGCACATTTGTGGGAAATGTATTAGAAAATATATAGATGAGCACACGTAGTTATTTATATATTTGGAGAAAACTATAAAAATTTATTATTTTAAGATATTTATGCAGATCTATAACTTACCAATTGGATTTCCTTCAGCAAAACACCATCTGTCATAAATTTGAGCTTCGTCTCTGGTGTTGTGTTTCCTTCAAACCGAATCTGATATGACACTTCTTTTGCCGACAGATTCATCTCCTGTGCAACTCTCCGAGACATTGAAATTGCAGCAACACGTCTTGGTTCAGTGATACCAATCATCTTGCCATCACTAAAAGACAAAAGGAAGCGAGATACAATTCGTTTTGATCATAGCTGATCAAAGGAGACATCTTAGACCTTATGCTAGGCATCATTTTTATACAAATAACAAGCGTTGAATGTAATGAAACACCATTTCCAGGGCGAGACCCCGAAGGCTTCCCAGAGCTTATCCAGGCTGATATGGATACCTGCTTGATGGGGTTCTGGGAGTTCTTCTACTCCCCAAGCCCGGCCAGAGGCCAGGCTCGACTTGTGAGAGTTTGGTCCACCAGGCTGTTGCTTGGAGCGGCCCGCAGGGCCACATACCCACCACATCCCGGCTGATCCGGAACTTCTCTTAGAAAACAGTCCAGTTTTCTCTTGAAGATGTCCACGGTTGTTCCGGCAATATTTCTTATAGTCGCTGGGAGGATGTTGAACAACCGCGGACCTCTGACATTTATACAGTGCTCTCTGATTGTGCCTATGGCACCTCTGCTCTTCACTGGTTCAATCTTGCATTTTCTTCCATATCGTTCACTCCAGTACGTTGTTATTTTACTGTGTAGATTTGGGACTTGGCCCTCCAGTATTTTCCATGTGTATATTATTATATATCAAGGATATATCAGACCTTGGAATCAGTCAGGGTGAATGGAGTTCTTAGGCCAACCGGGGACCACGAGCCAGAACTGGGCCCCCCTCTCAGAGAGGCACGAGGAGCAATGGCCTATAGAATTGCATATGAGATTTAGAGCATTCTATGTCTGCCATCGACTGGGTCAGGAACCCAGAAGGGTAAGCATCCCAAAACAAATCACTATTCTGGATGAAACTACTGTACTACTGAAAGTCAAATGAGTGGACATAACTCCCCAAAGACAAACGAGCATGACATCATCACATGCCGCACCCCCGTCTGCGCAGCTCCCCTCTTCCCGGGAGGGAAAAGGGAAAGCCCCAGGCACCTCATGCCAGCTACCCACACTCCAGTTCTGAGGCTGGATGTCAAAAACATGTGAAAAACTGATGACCGGAGGGAGGGAGGGAGGGTTGCCGGGTAGCCTCCGGGTCTCACCCAGAAAATGGCGTTTCATTACATTCAACGCTGGTTTATTGGGGGGAGCCCCTTCGGCTCCCTAGAGCTACTTACCAAAAGACGAAAAACAAGAGGACTTACCCAGAAGACGGTCAACACTCACCCCTCAACGAGTAGTCGATACAACAGGCTGCAACCGCCGACCCAAAGTGACACAGACTCGACTAGGCCCAGGAACAGTGACCAAGTAGCGTGCAGCCAGGACATTTCTGGTGGGGAGAGCGAGTGTCTCATAAAAACAGTGAGTGTCACCCTAAGACAAGGGGACAGAGAAACCCTCAAACTCCCACAAGGCGAGATGGGACCCAGGGGGGGACACATCCCTCGGACCCCTTGTGCCTCCGTGGGGTTTCCCAGGGCCCCTAGACTGGTATCACTAAGGGTAAGCCAAGGCAGGGTACTCTGAACCGGCGCCCAAGTCTACCAATCAAACTTTTAAAAGCTAAACACTCAGGGCAGTTAATCACCGAGCAGCAAAAAGACCAACAGAGGTTGATTCCAAGGTGACTTGTGGAAGATGGCCCCAAGCTCCAAGGACGGTACTTACAGGGGACTTGGGGAAGGTAACCCTAAGCATGCAGCCTGAGAACCTGTGAATTTACTCCCAGCTCATGCACCCCCCTGAAGATAGCACTGGACACAAGGCACAGCACAGCAAACAAAATCAGGAGCTGGAGTCACACGACCAAGCCTCAAACGCATCAGCCGTGAACTGAGGTGTGGGTAGCTGGCATGCGGGGTCTGGGGCTCCCCCTTCCCCCCTCCCGGGGAGGAGATGAGCTGTGCAGACAGCGGCGCGCCATGTGGTGACATCATGCTCGTTTGTCTTTGGGGAATTCTGTCCACTCGTTTGACTTTCAATAGTAGTTTTAACCAGAACAGGGCATTGTTTTGGGATGCTTATCTTTTTGGGTGCCTGACCCAGTCAATGGCAGACATAGAATGCTCCAAATCACATGTGCCATTCTATAGGCCATTGCTCCTCGTGCCTCTCTGAGGGGGCCAGGTTCTGACTCATGGTCCCCAGTAGGCCTAAGACTTCCATTCACACTGACTGATGCCAAAGTCTAATATATCCATATCAGCCTGGATAAGCTCCGAGAAACCGAGGGGGGCTCCCCCAGAAAGGGTCAATAAAGCAGGGTACTTCCGAACCTCATGCGTACGAGGGTAGACCACAGGCTGGCTAGCTTTGATGACACCGTGGACATCCTGAGTCACACGACCCTTGGAACAGGGAACCAGGGAACCAGATCAACCCATAAAACTTCCACCAAAACCATACTGGTGGCTCGCAGGTATCGACACAAAGCTGCCACCGGACACAACGCATGTGTCCGGCCGAACTAACAAAGCTTCCACAACTAAGCAACCACTCTGGCAGCCCGCCGTCTCATTCTTTGCTAGAAAAGGAATAGGCTGCAAATGATAAAAAACGACCACCAGGACCAAAAGAACAAACAATTAATTATCGACTTTATAATGGTCCAGGATGGACCAAAACGTCATCGTATCTTCATCTGGTGTGTGGTTTGGTCATCAACAGAACAAAATCCCCAGTATTGGAGCAAAGCAGGAAGCTCACCACTCAACAACCAGCAGCCCTGGAAAGCAAAAACAATGCTTTCCAAAATCAATCCTGGACGAAAGGGGTCACCATAAAATGAGCAGGAAAGAGAAAAAAGCATAACTCAGTCCGAAGACCAGGCAAGACCAGACACCATGCAAGAAGCACCTGAAACCAAGGCTTGGTCAGCCAACGTGCCAGAAGAATCACTCTTCCACTGTAAGACTCCAGATGCATCAGTGCCCGGAGCAACAGTCATGCCGGTGGAAAGAGGAAAATGCATCCATTGTATCTCGCCGTGTACAGTCGAAGGACGTCCACTATGAGGTCCTTGCAGTCGGGGAATGGCGCCACATAAAGAGGAAAATGCCAAGACCACACTGCTGCGAAGAAGTCGATGTTCGGGCACCCAAACGTCCAGAAAAGCCAGAGGAAAGTAGTAGTGTCGACGGTCCATTCCATGGAAAGAGGAAGGAAGCAAGACAGACTGTTGGCCAAGATGCTGGATATAGCCTGAACATGAACGGTGTGGAGATGTAAACCCCAAGAACTCAGCAGATGAGCTACCAAAAGCGACCAGCCCCACAGAGCCATGGACCGAACAGACCCCCTGCGGTTATGACAATGAACCATGGGGAAACAATCCGAGTGGAGCTGGATCAATGAGCCTGGAGGAACCCGAACTCTCCACCAGGCCTACTACATGATCGTAAACTCCTGCAAGGTGCTGTGAGCCCGACGAAGAGAACGCCAACAACCCTGGCCAGCCTGGTCACAAAACACCAACTGACAGCCGAGGTATCCGTGAACACATCAAGTGAGGGAGGAGGAAGGTGCCATGGCACCGAACCCCGAAAAACCCAAAGTCGAAGCTGGTGACACGGCAACCGGTGCAGGGACACTGGGGTCCGAACCCAGTGATCGCGAGAGCAACTAAAGGGGTTACCCCGAAGGAACCACAACAGCCTCTGAAGCCAAACCTTGTCCAAAGGGTAAACCAGAAGGGCAAAGTTTTGACTCCCACACAACTGCTCGAGCATCCATTGAGTAACCCTGGTCCTCCTCAACAGCAGCAGAAGACGGGACTGCAGCCGAAGCAAGGCCACATGAAGCGAAAGCAACGCCAACCAAGAATCCCAAGTCAGTCTTAACCAGGTCCGAACCTGGGACAGAACCGACTGGGACTTCCTCCAGTTGACCAGGAACCTGAACCTGGCAAGCTGGGAAAGAACCAGATCGCTGGCTAGCAGACAAGCAGATCGACTGGAGAGCAAACCAGCCAGTCATCGAGGTAGGCCAATACCCTCAGTCGTAACAAAGAAAGATAGGCCACTTCGACCCAAGTCAATTGCATAAAAATGCGTGGTACCAGATTCAGTACGAACGGGAGAGCCCGAAAGTGGTAAGCCTGTCTCCCCACTACAAAACCTAACCAATACCTGAACCCTGGATCAATTTGGACATGCTAATAGGCATTCCTGACGTCCAAGTAAATCATCCAAGCAACCTGCCCAGGAACAAGACAGACCTGGGATAACATAATCATGCGAAAAGAGGAGCAAGGAATCAACCGATTCAGACAGGACACATCTATTATGTACCTGAGATCCGTACAATCATGTTTCGGGACCAGAAAAAGATGACACTCTCACTGAAGAGATGAAGTCTTTTTGACCACAGCTAGACACACCCACTCCAAGATGACTCACCGGAGGGAAAGAGAAGACGCCTGCCCCAACAGACCCGAACCCCCCCCTCCCCGAAGGAGGAGAGACTGCCCAACGCCACCACAGGCCATGCGATACAACCTGAAATGCCCACATATCGTCGAACCAAGCATAAGAAAATAGAGCTAGTCCCCCACACAGCAACATCAAAGGGGCGACCCGCAAAAGGGTCAAAGGCAATTTTGAGAATCAGCCTGCCGAACAGAGAAAGCAGGGCACCTCCCAGTCAAAGAAGCTTCTTGAGGTTATCTTGAGATGATTTCGGGGCTTTTTTTTAGTGTCCCCACGGCCCGGTCCTCGACCAGGCCTCCACCCCCAGGAAGCAGCCTGTGACAGCTGACTAACACCCAGGTACCTATTTTACTGCTAGGTAATAGGGGCATAGGGTGAAAGAAACTCTGCCCATTGTTTCTCGCCGGCGCCTGGGATCGAACCCAGGACCACAGGATCACAAATCCAGCATGCTGTCCGCTCGGCCGACCGGCTCCCCGGTCGGCTCATCCCCCCAGCTGGAGGGGATGCCTCAGCCCCAGCCCCACATAGGACCCACCTCGACCAACAGCAGGCAAAACCCTGGCTCTACCTCTCTGGGAGGACCGACAAAACTGCCCTCCCGGACACACACCAAGTCAGAG